CACCTGTAATCCCAGAACTTTGGGAGGCCGAGGTGGGCAGATCACAAGGTCAGGAGATCAAGACCATCACAGCTAACACAGTGAAACCCCGTCTCTACTAAAAACTCAAAAAATCTGCTGGGCGTGGTGGCGGGCACCTGTAGTCCCAGCTACTCAGGAGGCTGAGGCAGGAGAATGGCGTGAACCCAGGAGGCAGAGCTTGCAGTGAGCCGAGATCACGCCACTGCACTCTCCAGCCTGGGCAACAGAGCAAGACTCCGTCTCAAAAAAAAAAAAAAAAGGAATGTTTGTGATTCATCGGAGGAGGTGAGAGTATCAATATTAACAGGAGTTGGGAAGAAGTTGATTCCAACCCTTGTGGATAAGGTTGGAGGGGTTCAAGGCTTCCATGGAGGAAGTAGCTGCAGATGTGGTGGAAATAGCAAGAGAAGTAGAATTAGACGTGGAGCCCGAAGATGGTCTGAATTGCCACAATCTCATAATCAAACTTGTCCAGATGAAGATTTGCTTCTTAGAGATGAGCAAAACAAGTCGTGTGGGATGGTGTCTACTCTTGGCAAAGATGCTGTGGACATTGTTGAAATGACAACAAGGACTTCGAATATTGCATGAACTTAGCTGGTAAAGCAGTGGCAGGGTTTGAGAGGATTGACTGTAATTTCGAACGAAGTTCTACTGTGGGTAAAATGCTATCAAACAGCATTGCATGCTACAGAGAAGTCTTTCATGAGAGGAAGAGTCCATTGACGCGGCAGGCTTCACTGCTGTCTCATTTGAAGAAATTGCCACAGTCCCCCCAGCCTTTAGCACCCACCACTCTCATCCAAGCAGGACCCTCCACCAGCAATGAGATCGTGACTCACCGTCAGCATCCAAGCAGGACCATCAACATCCAAGCAGGACCCTCCACCAGCAATGAGATCGTGACTCACCGAAGGCTCAGATGATTGTTCACGTTTTTTAGCATAAAGTATTTTTATATTAAGGTGTGTACATGTTTTTTAGACAATGCTATTGCACACTTAATAGACTGCAGTAGAGTATAAACAGACCTTGTATGTGCACTGGAAAACCAAAACATGAGTGTGACTTGCAAATTGCGATATTCACTTCATTGCGGTGGTCGGGAACTGAACGTGCAGTATCTCTGAGATATGTCTCTCTGTCACAAAGCCCTTCAGGTTATGAAACAGGTAATATTTTACACACGAGATATTATCGAGGGAATTTTCATAGAGGGGAGAGATTGAAACTGGGAAAAATCAATGTTTCCTTCCAATGCTTGAGTCCTGTGATCTATGGAAAAATTACACTTTGTACTGGTCCATCACACCGAGTGTGACTTTGAGTCAACGGAGTGACTTCGTGGGACAGTAGCAGAGAAGGATGCGTGCGCCTCTGCACATCACGGGCACTTGGATCCTCAGGCACCACTGGGCGGGTAGCTCTTGCCACCTACACTGAATGCCTCAAGACTAGTTTGCTTTCTAAGTTCTTAAGTATTTGTTTTTAATCTTTTAAAAAAATCTTTTTACATCCCTTCAGCTCAGGCTCTTGCGACCATTTTGGCTGTTCGGCGTGCCTACTTCTGGTAGATCCTTCTCCTCTGCTGCTTGTGGTCTGCTGGCAGGAGGGAAATCAGAAACCACTCCGACTAGAATCACATCCTAGCTGGGGGGGCAGAGGGATGGAGGGATATGTGTGAGCATGTTCCAGGGACTGAGAGCTGACCCCTGGAGGACAGAAGCTGCCCAGGGAGTAGCCTCCATTTCAGTGAGTGTCTGCACAGCACAGCAGCCCCAAGAGAAAGGCAGTCCCCTCACCTGGAAGATGGGTCATTTCTGTGTGACTTCTCACCTCAGGCTAAGAGAAGCATGATTTGAAATCAAGTGCAAGAGGCCGTGTTTTCACCTCTGTGGGAAAGACAGACTTTCAGAATTTAGAATTCGATCAAACATAACCCCCTCGAGGTCATCAGAGAAAGTGTGCAGAGACACGGCAGCTTGTCCGGGGCCACAGGTCACCCATTCCTATTGTCTCCTAGGAGCCTGTCCACATCTTATAGCATATGGTCACCTGGCCCGAGAATGTCTGTTTTGCAGGGTTTGTCCTGAGCTGGTTGTACACCCTCTCCTGCTCCGGCTTCTCTCCGACTCCTACTGTGTGTGTCTGCAGAGCTGCCTGGCTCCTCGAGCCTCTAATACACCTTTAGTTTCACGGTCTGTCTCCCGTCCTGACTATTACAGATGATCATCTGACAGTGTGTCCAGTCTGTGAGAACAGCTTCCAATGAGCTGCCCTTGGGGTCCCAGAGCCAAAGTCAAGAAGACAGTCCAAAAATTGTGACCATAAGCTCGTTCCTGATCTCTCTGTGCAGGCCACTGCATTTCTCCTTGACCCTGTCTGGCCTCTCTGCCACCCAGGGCAAATCCTGCATTCCTACCACCCTCACTGACCCCAAGCCTCCCAGAGTTGAATTATTGGCCGCATGGTTGAACCCAGTCTTCAACCCCCTCCACCCCCCGGAGGTCAGAAGGCTGAGCCGTCACCACTGGCTCAAAGCCCCAACCCTCTAATCCCCATGGTTGGCCTCCCTGGCATGGCCAGACCCATCCTGGAAGGATCTTGGGGCCCACCATGAGTCCCCCCAAGAAGCATAAGCTCAGCTGTGGTCTGAGAGGCGCACCATGGTGACAAAAACCATCCCGGTAATTCAGGAAACTTCAACAGTCTAGAAGTTCCATCTCAGATCAGATACATTCTTTATGATAAACTATCTTATTTGGCTGTGTCTGTCAGATTTGTTTGTATTTTCTTTTCAGGTGGGACTATTTGAACAACTTTGGTTTAGTTTTAGACCAAACTGATTCAGATTGCAGGGGGGGGAATAGGAAATGGGGCTTGGGAGAAGTAGAATTGATATTTCTATCCTGGCATTTCCGCCTCTAATGGAGATTCGGTTATTGGAGAACTGAAATAGAAATGACAGCTCCGCCCAGGTGCAGTGGCTCATGCTTATAATCCCACCACTTCGAGAGGCTGTGGTGGGATGATCGCTTGAGGCCAGGAGTTTGAGACCAGCCTGGACAACATAGTGAGACCCATTCTATACAAAAAATAAAAAAAAGAAACGAACGGCCGGGTGTGGGGGCTGATGCCTTTAATCCCAGCACTTTGGGAGGCCGAGGCGGGCGGATCACGAGGTCAGGAGATCAAGACCATCCTGGCTAACATGGTGAAACCCCGTCTCTAATAAAAATATAAAAAATTAACCGGGCATGGTGGCTGGTGCCTGTAGTCCCAGCTACTCGGGAGGCTGAGGTAGGAGACTGGTGTGAACCTGGGAGGGAGGCGGAGCTTGCAGTGAGCCGAGGTTGTGCCACTGCACTCCAGCTTGGGTGACAGAGCGAGACTCCGTCTCAAAAAAAAATTAAACGAACAATTCCTTTTCTGATTCAAAACTTAATTCACAGTTAAAGAGAAAACAAGACGACATCCTGTGCTCACGTTTATTCTTTATCGCACTAACTTACAATGTAGTTGCAGTCTACATTAGAAATATTACTATGCTTATAAATGGTGTGCATGGATTGGAGCTGTGTTTCTTAGGGAGCTGAAAGCACAAAACAGCTTAATAAATTTCAAAATGTAATGAGTACATTTTTAAAATTAAAAATATCAAGTATAATTACGGCTTTTTGTTCTGACCCATGTGGGTCAGCAGTAATTGATGTCTAAGAGACCAAAAACAGGTTAGCGGTAAGCCAGGTCACACTCGGCATCCCCTCTCCCCGGCACTGCCTGGCAGCATTTATAGAGGGGCAGCCAGCCAGAACAGCCCCGGCACGGGATCCTGCCCCGGATTCAGGAGACGTGAAGGTTGAATACGGGGCCTGGGCAGCTCATGGTTTTAAGGTTATAGAGTCAGCCTTGGTAGAAACTACATAGTAGGGTTTTGCAGCTTTGTCACTGGTAAATCCCAGTAAAAACCTTTTTTTTTTTTTATACTGGAAAGTTATTTAAAGAATTTATTCACTTTAATTGCATTTCCATTTTATAGCCTTGCTGATGTGTTCTTTACCATTTCCATGGGATTTTAGTTACTGTTTTCACCACATTTTCTTTTAAGTGCTTCCCCCAAATCCCCGTAACTCCAGCAGAAGACATAATGACAATGTAACCTCATGCTGTCAATAAATGCGGCAACTGTGTTGTCTAAGAATACGTGCGGGCATTTTCTCTCATAACTCCAAATGGCTACTGTTGGAAACGTTCCTGTGAAATGTACCCGACCTTTTCCTGTGTATGTGGCATTTCCATTGCCAGCCTCTAGTTGTAAAAACAAATTGTTGACCAAGTTTTCTCAATTAAATAATGTATGTGTAGGCTGGGCGCGGTGGCTCACGCCTGTAATACCAGCACTTTGGGAGGCTGAGGTGGGTGAATCACGAGGTCAGGAGTTCAAGACCAAACTGGCCAAGATGGTGTGAAACCCCGTCTCTACTAAAAATAACAAAAATGAGCCAGACGTCGTGGTGGGCGCCTGTAATCCCACCTAATAGGAAGGCTGAGGCAGAGAATCGCTTGAACCCGGGAGGCAGAGGTTGCAGTGAGCCCAGATCGCATCACAGCACTCCAGCCTGGGCAACAGAGCGAGACATAGTCTCATAAAAAATTTTAAAAAATAATAATAATGTATGTGTTAACGTCTACGTCCCCTCTCCCTATTTATGTGACAGCGTTAGTACTTGTTTTGGTAGCTAGCATAAGGGTTCAATGAAATTATGACCAGTAAACAAAATAACACTGTGAATAATGAAGCTGGGTTTTGTCTGTCCCTTTTTGGGAGGAAGAGAGTTAATATTTGCGTTTGGGGCATATTTTATGTTCTTCACTTCCCAAACATGACACAGCAGGACGGGCTGCTGTAAGAGCTCAGGCTCACCATGGATTCTGATGTGTGTTTTCTTCTTTTTCCTTTTCATCCCCTTCGATTCAAGTGAACTGCCTCATTCACCTCAGAACCTCCTGGCCAGCCCTAATTCTTCCCACAGCCACGCCGTGGTGCTCTCTTGGGTCCGGCCCTTTGACGGAAACAGTCCTATTCTTTATTACATCGTGGAGCTGTCTGAAAACAGTAAGTAGCAAAATGGAACTGTCACCGTGGACGATAATCAGATCTTTGTGTGTGCTCTTAATGTCCTTAACCTTTACTTCTGGGTCAGATCCAAAACAACTAATAAAAGGCTGTAATGCTTTTCAGGGTTTCAAACACAGCCTGCCCTTTAGGAAAGAGAAAAAACCATGCAGGACCTGAGAGAGGGAAGGGAAGAAGTCCTTAGTTAGAGAAGCTCTTGGGGGAGAGTGGATTTGGGGCCCCATGGGAGGGCCGTGCACACAGGGCTGCTCCGAGCAAAGCCCCGCAGTGTCACTCCCAGGGCGAGCTGGAAATGGGTTAACAATGCCCGCCACCTGGGTGCCTTGAGAGTTTGCCGCCACCGCCACTGCTCACGTCTGTGGGAGGTTTTCTCCAGCGTAGACGTGGTGCCACGTGTTCAGTACCCTCTTCCCGACTCACCTTCCAGGACCCCTCTGCCCCTTTACCACCGTCCTTGGAAATCTTCTGCATGAAACACGCTCCTTCCGTGGGCTACTCACAGCCTTGGCTTTCCTCCAGCCGCCAAGCCCTCCTTCCCTTCTCTTCTTGGCTGGCTGGGTGACGTGTCCCCCACTGTGTGCACCCACTCACGCCTCTCCGCTCTCCCTGGAATCTCTTCCTGAGAAATCGCATGCCTTCCTGTGATTTTTTAGTGGCGTATTTTCCTTGATAACGCAAACATTTATATCCTTCACCCAGGCCTCCAGGATCACTTATGGAGCCCAGAGGCTTGATGTCTGTATCGGGCTGTCTCACAGACCTCTCCAACTTAACCTCTTTCCACTGCATTTTTTATTTTATTTTATTTTATTTTATTTATTTATTTATTTTTTACCTCCTGCAGCCACCCAAATCTCTACTCCCAGCACCCTGCATTTCTGTATTCCTCTGCCGGAACCCTAGGAATAGTCCCCAGTTCCTTTCCCTGGACCTCAGCCCCCACCTCCACACCCCCTGGATCAGCAGTCCTGTGAGTCTGTTAACTAGGATTCTGATCCCTTTCCTCTCTGCCTCAGACCACTGGTACCTCTCGCCAGGACCACTGCAGCAGCCTTCCAGCCGGCTCTGTTTCCTCTTCTAAACCATTCACCTACCAGCAGCAACACTGATCTTCTAAGATACACCCAGACCAGGCCACTCCCCTGTACATGTCCTGCAGGGGTTCCTGCTGCATGCAATATAGAAGCCAAACGCCTCGCTCCCTGTGCAGCCTCGGGTCACCCTGTGCAGCCTCGGGTCACCGTGTGCAGCCTCGGGTCACCCTGTGCAGCCTCGGGTCACCGTGTGCAGCCTCGGGT